TTTTTTTGGTTCAGAACTCCAGAGGCTGAGCTGGAACCCCCAGGCTCCGTCCTGGCACAGGGTCAGTTCATAGCTGGCGTTTCCCCGGCATGGCCTCACTCCTGCTTTGGAGCGATAGGTCACCTTTCTTTTTTCTTCGGTTTTTACTCAAATGTCATCAAGTTTGCAGGAACCTAGAAGATAACAGGGGTCACAGAGCAAGAGTGTTTAAATGAATAGTATTTTAGAATACTCTTTATCTTTCCTGGTCAAATGTTAAAATGCAAGCCCAAATGTTAAAAATTTGTCTGACCTAAATTTGATGGATGGCACTGGAATAATATAGCAATTGTGAATATAATATACCAGAATGTTTTAGAGAAAAATCACTGAGCTGTGTTAATAGTCTCTACTAAACACCCAGACATAAGATGACTGTGGGGCAGAGGTAACAGCTTTCTTGTCCAATATAAGGAAACTTGGTAGATGTTTATTGAATGAATACATGAATGAAGAAGAAAAGCATTGAGCATGGCTCTGGCAGGGCAGATTCTAAAGAAACATGCTTGTCATTGCTTATTTTTCTTATTGCATATGTTACAATGACTTCTCACATCTAAATTTCTAAATCCAACACAGAAAACGTTATAACATAACTAAGACTTTCCTAGTGAAGTAATTTTAACACAAATACAAAAGAATACAACTAGATGAGTTCAGATCTGCTTTATGCTACTTGAAAATAGGCTCCCTAATAATTCATTGTTTACAGACCAAATCAATATATAATTTGATTTCTTACAAATCTGAAATTCAATAGTTATCTTCTGAGATATGGTTTAGTTTTTCCTAAATGATATGATAAACACGTAAGTTTAAGGTCTACAGAAGGTTTCATTTTGTTCAAGAAAACACTCTTTAATACCAGTTTTCCAACGTGCAAGGTAAGATTCCTACGTAAGTGGTCTTCTGCCTATCCTTTAAGGTAGTTTAATACTGTTCACACTTCAATCTCTTTCTAAAAACCTATGATACTCACAAATATGCCTCTTACATGCATCAAATTCTGATCAATAATAAAGCCATAACTCTAAGTCAAATAAAATGCAAATGCTCAAATTAAAGGATAAACTCTCGAGTCTGGTCAAGAGAAACAAAAAACTAAATCTACTGCCATCAAGTTGGTTTTGAAACTCGTATTTAAGTCCAGTGAAATGTTCCTTCTAAGATGTTTATGGTTTAAGGTGTTTCATTTAGGTCTTCTCAGTGCTTTCTGTAGTTAAGAGAGAAAGAATAGAGGGGAGATGAGAGAGTCTTCTAAAATTTTTCAAATTTCAATACTTTGTTTTCAATACTGCTTTGTTTTCAGCAAGAAACACAGGAACAAACAAAAAGACCAAGACATGTAGTTGGATCTATTTAGCAAGAAGTAACACCAACAAAGTACAAGAAAGGGAATTTTATGCTGGTGTGAATACACTTTCTAGATTAATCTTGAGAGAGGAGGCTTTTGCCCTTTTTTTAAAAAAAAAATGATATTTAATACTGTACATTATGTAACCGGGAAAGATTAATATTAGCACAAGGTTTATTTCTTTCTTTTTATCCCAGACAAGTCCAAGGCAGATTTCATTTCCCTTCCTTTAACAAAAGCTGCTAAAAATGATATCAATATGGCTGCTAGCCTTTACTACATATTTGAAACATACATCCCAAAAGACAAAAATATGAGCAAACAAAGCTTATTATCAGTAATATTTTGAAGAATCAAGATGGCAGAGCTGGGTCCCAGGCCACTTATTTTTCCTTTGTCAGACCCTGAAGCAACTCAGTTACCGTTTCTGAGCTTTAGGCTTCTAATTGATTTAATTTAAAAAAAAATTAACTTAAAATCCTGGCAATATACTTCAAGATAAGAAATACTTTTATAAGTTCCATACATTTAATGCATTAGTTATAACTCTTTCATACTTTGGTATTATCAATACTCTACACTTTTCAAGTACATTCAACTAAAACTTGATTCTACAGAAAGTCCACAGCAATTTCTCTAACGACAGTTATGTGTAAAACGCAGGACCGAGCACCCTCTACCATGATATGGGGAAACAACACTTGAGAATCCTTCCCTTTTGAAAAGGAATGTCTTTAAATTATAGCATCTCTGTTTCAATGACATAAAAGCAAGCAACAAATGAAAAACCAAAACGGGATTTTGGTTTCCACTTTCACTATGTGAGCCTGTCTCAAATTCTGCCTCATTGTGTTTCTGAAGCTCTAAATGTTAATGGGGTATAATTCATTTTTCTCCTAAGAAGCAGTTGGTTGACAAGAACTGTTACTTCACCAGCTCCTTAAAACAAGTAAAGATGAAGCAAAACAGATTTTACTAGAGTCTGGAAAACATTTTGCTGAATGAAATATCTCAGTCACAAAGGGACAAATATTGTGTAAGACCATTATTGTAATAACAGGATCAAGACAGGGAGAGGGAGGTAAGAGTGAGAAAAGAATGGTTCGATAATTAACTCTGCACTGGACTGGTGAAAAGAAGGACATTTTGAATGGAATTAAAGATTAGAAACCATGTATATGACAATTACTAGTCTTATAAAAGTAATGGGAGAGATGCATGCATCAACAAATAATAAAAGACCCAGAAAAATATTTTTACAGGACCAAAAAAGGGACATTTAGCCTTCAGCTCTTCTGGTCCCGTTGCTTCTCGCAACATTCTGCATGCACTGGCTACATTCTCCTGTTCTGAACGTCTCATGCTTGTATCAGCATCTGTGTGTTCCTGATTCCCTCTACCTGGACCACTCGATTCCCTAAACATCTGGTGACCTGTTCTTACTCCTTAGACTCCTTCAGGTCAATGCCATCTCTTTAGTGAGATCTTTGTGGCTCATCCTTCTTTATTTAAAGCTGCCTCTATTTCCTTCATGCCCTATCACATTATTCTATTTTCTTTAGGTTTTACTACTTGAAATTATGTGTTTATTAGTTTGACTGCCCTGCTCCTCACTAAAATGCTGTCTACCTGGCTTGCTGACTGCTGTCAGTAGGAATAAAACCACCCTTTTCCAAGCTTATTAAAAATTTTAGAGTACATCACATATTTAAAAATATACCACCGAGTCAATGAGCTCACCTGTTGTTTGTTACTTTGGCAGGCTGCACTCAAATGCTTAAACCACAGCATTGCATTCATCCTATTGCCAGCTTGAAACTTATATGAATTTCCTAAAATTAATAAAAACAAGGAGGAAATGAATACAAAATCAGGACTATGGTACAATTGTTGTCGTCGTAGGCGACTCATGGCGACCCTATGAACGAAAAGTCCTCAGCACTTGTTTGACTTTCAACCTTTCTCCAGGTTCACAGGGTTTCTGGAGGTAAGCTATTATGGAAGTGGATGCAACTCCTGCTTCTAAATGTTACAGTAGTCCTGTAAAGTATTAAAGACACAAGTAAAATGTGACTAGAATTCTTTATGGATAGTCTTTCACGTAAATACATTTACATGCTGCTATTTCTTTAAGATGTCACTGTTTTGTTACTGGAGTAAAATGCCTCTCTTTAAAGTAATTGTTTGGCCTCTATATATTTATGTGTGCTAGAGAACAAAATATCCATTTTTAAATACTATTTAATCTAAATAATACTTTTAATATTATGTACCTTCGACAGGCCAAAATACCTTAATAAAGGGCTCTGGTGTCACAGTGGTTAAGGGTTTGCAAGTTACCTCAGAGATCAGCCCTTCAAATCCATCAGCTCTTCTGTGAGAGAAAGATGTGGCAGATACATCCATAAAGACCACAGGCGTGTAAACACTATTGGGCAGTTTATCTTTGAAATTCTAACATAGTAAAAAAACTTTTTCATGCTCAGAAGCAGTTTTGAGTATTTTTCTTTCACCAAATATTTAATTATCTAAGTTCTACTGTTTGGCTTACTAACCTCAGAGGCAATCAAATCCTAAATCAAGCCGAATAAAAGGAATACCTACAATTAAGTTGGCTACAGTTACAATTTTCCCATTCTCCTTTCCCTCCATAAAATGACCACTAGTACAAACTTGACAATTCTGAAATGGGACTGCTAAGCACCAGTGCCTTAACGGGTAAGGAATGGCACTGCCAACCCCAAGGCAGGTGGTGAACATCCACGAGCTGCTCCACAGGAGGAAAATGGGCAATCCCTTCCTGTGCAGTGGACAGCCTCTGAAAACCAGCCAGCAGAAGCATGCTATGGAAAACTGATGGAAAATAATTTATTCATTAAGGCAAACGGAAATGATCTAATTTTCACATGTAATGCCTTTGAGATTTTGCAGGGCTGGGGTTTTCAATACAGGCTATAGAGAGTTGAGCCCTTATCTGTAAATCAATCTCAAAAGGATATTCTGGTATTTCTTCCCCCACCTGTACCCAACATATTTATTTATTTAAAATACTGTTTTCTTAAAAGTAGGATTTTTTTTTAAAAAGCATTTAACTATATGGCAGTGAAAATATAGTTGTAAAGTCAATACAAAATATGAATGGTTCACTTTGTTTATGAGTGGGGAGGTTGGGGCAGCAAGGAAAGAAATTTCCTTCCTGGTTTTCCCTGTGGGACTCTTAGTGGCTGACAGCTAGGACAGAGGGAGATCAACATCCACTGAGGACCCTTTGGATGGAATGTCCATTACAGACAGTTTCAGAAGGCATGATCTGACTGTACAGAGCCAAGTCCTCTCATCTGCTTCACAAATGTCAACAGTCAGTAATTTAACTCATAAATGCCTCTCTCTATATATATATAAATGGTAGAATGTGACTTGTTTGGAAAGTGATTTATGCAAAACATCCATTTAATTAAAAAGGAATGAATCAGTTTAAAGAATAAAGTTTCTGCCACACGCAGAATGTTATGATTTTGAAGTAACAGACGCCCATAAATTATTGTTATCTGGTGTCTCTGAGAGAGGACGACTCAGTGACCCTCTGAGCAACAGATCTGAGCCTTGTCCCATCCTGTGCCATCCTCTCAACTCCTACATACTCACGCCCCTTGTTGTAGTCACTGTGTCAAGGCCAGTTTCTTCCTCCCACCCTTCCTCTAGTCCTCTTTTAAATAATTCTCTAGTGATTAGCTCTTGAACTTTTAATATTTCAAGTATATGCTCAGATAGCAAAGAAAATGAAGCTCTAGAGAATTTAAAGTATCATCAGACTACACTATGTGACATTTTTCTTAAAGACAAAAACTGCATAAACACTCCTTCTCAAAGAATATTGCAGTAAACCAGGTTTTTGCATATCCCAAATCATGTCTGGGCAGTACTGTAGATCCACTCCAACAACTCACCTTTCTCAGAGTCAGTCAACAAGAAGAGATCTGGATGTTCTAGGTCATCAGCCATCATCACCATCCATCCAACAACAGACACATTCTTATTTGAAGTGGATTTGAACTGAGAGATTGGGGGGGGGGGGAAGACAAAAGAGAAACACATTTATAGTGAGCTCTGGTGGCCTAGTGGCAAGAAGCTGCGCTGTAATCCCAAAGGGACAGGATTCAAGGTCACCAAATGCTCTGTGGGAAAAGGATGGGCAATCTCCTCCCATGTGATTAACTACCTCTAAACCTGCCACAGGTCAGCTAGGGCTCGGTTCTGACTCCATGGTACACAACACATACAAAAAACAAACAAAAATTGTTAAGCCACCTCCCCTACTGAGAGATGACTTTTGTAGTTTCATGTTGGTTCAAGTTTGCGAAGCACTTCTTACCACACTGTTAATCTAGGCAAACCCTCTTTACATAGTCTGCTATTTTTCAGAGCTTCTGACAGCATCATCACCTAAGTTCCCTATTCTCATTCCTAAAGAGCACATTCTCTTAATGAATCTTCCTTGTAGGCACTCTTCTGAATTTCTGTGCTACCTCTGATTCAAGAGCAAAGTGTTTTAATAGGGTAGTATCTTACATTTGATTAATTGAGTCGATCAGGAGATGAATGATGAAATCGTATTGTACATTAAACAACGAAAAAAATACGATCTTATTATAGCCTTTGTCAAAAATTTAAACATCTGTGATAAGAACTCAGCCAAATGAAAACATAAGAAAACTTCCTTATTAAAGAGTATCTACCAAAAACCAAAACAAAACCAAACCTCCAAATCTATACAGAAAACTAAAACAAGACAAAGCAGGAAGGAGAGCCCGGGGGTACGCCCACTCAAAGTTAATGTGCTAAAACAGATTAAAAAACATCAATTTAAGATTCCCATCATCACCATTTCAAACGATGGATTAGAATATCAGTTGAGTAAGAACAAAAATTAAAAGCATAAGGGCAAGGAGAAAAGAAATCTTCCATTACTCTCAGATGATATTACCTAGAAAGTGAAAAAAATCTTCTTGAATAAAAAAGTTAGCAAGATTAATGATACAAGAACAACAACAAAAAAACCCCTAATTTTATATACTGTTATTAAGTGCCGTCATGTCACAGATGACTCATAGCTACCCTATGAACGAAACACCTTAACCCTGTTGTATAACTATCATCATTTGTCCAAGTTCATAGTTTCCAGAGGCAAGCTATTTTGGAAGTGGATGCCACTCCTGCATATAATTACAAAAATTGGTACAAAGGGAATATATGTAATAAAAGACACGTTGTTGGCTACCATCTAGTTGACTGTGACTCATGCAATCATGTCTGTAGCAGATTAAAACACAGATGGGCCTTGTGTCATCTTCCCAATCATTGGGATGACTGATCGCACTACTGTCAATCCATCTCATCAATCCAAAGTGCAGGTTCTTCCATTTGTATGGACTACATTAAAATAAGGTGCTTTTCTAGAGTCTGGTCTTTCCTGAGGATGTGCCCAAAGTAAGCAAAATCTCATTACCTTCATCCCTATGGAGCACTTTGGTTTTATTTCTTGGTTGTATTTTTTTTTTTTTTAAGAAGAGAGTGCAAATGCAGTCCATTTGTTCTATTTTATATTCTTCACCAATGTGGACGCTTCAATTCTTCAGCCTTCTTTTTTCCATTGTTCACCTTTTGCAGGTTTATTAGGAAAATGAAAAAGACTATGCCATGGGTCAGTTGTACCGCAGCGGTCAAATGGATATATTTACTTTCTGTTTAAAATGGTCTCTTGAGGCAACGTGCTCAGTGTTCTAGGCTGTTTGATTTCTTGCCTGCTGCTTCCACAGGCACTGACTACTGATGGAAGTAGAATAAAACTGGAAAAAACTTGCAGTATTTTTCATGATGAGGATTTTTGCTTTCTTCACCTACAAGCATATTTCACATTGAAGACTTCCGTCTCTCAACTTTATTATATCCTAGGTTACTGAAGTGTTTAAATGTTACCCTTCTTCACACAGGCTGGCTTCTTGAATTGTTTGTTCAATATACAGAACAAACAAGTAAGGTGGAAGAATATAACTTTGTTGCATCTCTTTTCTAATTAGAAACCACAGTGTCCTCCTGTTCTACTCAAACCATTGCTTCTTCATACCTCCTGGGTTCTGCGTGAGTACAATGTAATGTTTTGGAATTCACATTCTTTGTAATGTTAAATATAAAACATATAGAAATGTGTAACACCAGAAGAGACCGAAGTTGATGAAGAAATACCATGAAATCTAGAAAAATACCCCATGTGGGGAGGATGCCAATTCTCCTTAACTGATCTACAAGGCATGTCATTCTTCTATAAAAAATTCTAATAGAGCTTTAGGTGGAACATCATAAGTGAGTCTAAGATTTATATAGAATATTAATGGACCAAGAATAGGAAGGCTCTCCTGAAGAAGAATAAGGCAGGACATGCCTTGCGACACATTAAGATTATAACATCACTGTAAGGACACTGTGGACTATAGGACAGGAACAGACCAGCGGGTAAAGGAAGCCAGAAAGGAATCCAGGTACATACAAAACCCCACAGGACTAAAGCAGACTCTGCAGACCAGTGAGAGGAGTTGTTCAGTAATTAATTATATACACAGAAATAATTAAAAATGGATGCCTACTTTACCATGTTATTGTTGATTGCCTCTGAGTTAAGCACGACTCATAGAGACCCTATGAACAAAAGGTCTGAAGCTCCTCTACAACTATCAACATTTATCAGCACATACAGTTTCTGGAGGCATGTTGTTTAGGCAGTGGATGCCACTCCTGCTAGATACTCTATATATACCATTGCCTGATTCTAGATAGATCACAAACTCTAAAGCAAAATTACTGATAGTTAATAGAGGAAAAGATCTTAATGATCAAATTAGAAAAGATTTTTTTTTCTTAATTATTAATTTTAATAAACATGTAGAGACTTTGGATTTCTATTCATTCATTGTTGCACTTTTCTCCTTGCCCACCCCTCCCCCCTCCCCAGTACACTCTTTTCTTTGAAAAGTAAAATTCTTCATTGTTTTACAATACTCCCATGACAATAATACCTAATCACATATCCCTTTTGAACAGTTTTCTCCCTCAATTGCTTCAACGCAGTATTCATTATTTATCCCATCTTTCTCAGTCTCCCCCCAACCCCAATGTCAGTCCTGCTTTACAACAGTGGCACTATGCAGTATTTGTCCTTTTGTGACTGGGATACCTCACTCAGCATAATGTCCTCCAGGTTCACCCATTTTGAATAATACTGCATGAGTTCCTTGTTTTTCAATGCAGCATAGTATTCCATTGTGTGAATATACCACAGCTTCTCTAGCCATTTGTTGATGGGCATTTAGGTTGTTTCCAACTCCTTGCTATTGTGAACAAAGCTGCAATAAACATGGGTGTGCATATATCTGCTTGGATGTCAGTTATGGTCTCCTTGGGGTATATTCCAAGTAGTGAAATTACTGGGTCATAGAACAGAATGGTAACTCTATTTGCAACTTCTGAGAAAACACCACACCACCTTCCACAGTGGTTGCATCATTTTATACTTCCACCAACGGTGAATAAGGGTTCCAGTTTCTCTACAACCTCGCCAGCATTTATTGCTTGCTGTTCTGTTAAATTCTGCTGTTCTTAGTGGGGTGAGATGATATCTCATAGTTGATTTGATTTGCATCTCTCTTAGAGGTAGGGATTTTGAACATTTCTTCATGTGCTTTAAATAATAGTAGACAAAGTAAAGTTCAGTCAACATTATCACAAAGCAGCAATGTGAGAAATTATTTGCTTTGTATCTGAAGACAGAATTTAATATAACAACCTTTTCACCATCCAGTTTCTAAACTACATGGCCCCGAAACCTTATGAACTTTGATAAATGACAATAGTCATTGAAAGGCTTCAGGCCTTTTGTTCAGTCGTGCTCGACTCAACCGCAATCAACAACAACAACTTTGTTGCAGATTATCAGTCACAATATTTCCTCCCAAAGAGTACACCTGTCAAGTACTTAACCAATGTGCCAACAGGGTCCCCAAAGCAGTACTAAGCAGAAGTACTCTGAAAAAAGGTTCTAAATTTGTACATAAGAGAATTAGTTAATTTGGTTAGAATAAAAAAAATAAATCATAAATGGGATCCTAATATTTAAAAAAAACACACTAAAGCAAATAAAAACACCTTCAAACTCCCTGCCCTCAAGTCAGAACAGATTTATAGCTGACCCTCAAGCGGGTTTTGGGAGGCAGTAAATCCATGGATGAGATTGCTTATCTTTCTTGCAATGAGCAGCTGGTAGTTTCCAATCTCTAAGAGTACTGAAGAAGAAAGGCCAGTGCTTAAGGTTATAGAAGATTCCATTAAAAACTGGTGAGAATAAAACAGTACATTGTTTCAGAAAATATGAGGTAAAATCTTGAAAGAAAGCGGGGGGGAAAAGGCTCAACTCAGATGAAATTCAAGACAAAGAGGGGCTGCAGGGGTAATCAAAACACAAGAAGGTGCCATGTGCATGTGTGGACTCGACAGTCTGGTACTGCCTATGGCCGCCCATGGCCCACCCTGACAGCCACTTACACAAAAAAGCCCGCTTCTCTCACTCTCATTTAAGAAATAAATCAGTAAGGATAAACAAGACCTTCTCTGAACTACAGTGTGTTGCCTGGGAAACGAGTAAGTAGAAAAAGGACTTATATTTTCTTTAGTGGTTTATCCTTCCTGAGGAAGTCTTAAGCCACTTAACTATTTTCCCCAAATACATGACTTAGAAATAAAATTCCTCTCAAAAGGGTTTTGTAATACAACATGGAAACAAATTATTCCTCCTTTCAAAGAATCTATCACGGGTAAAAACAAAACATCAAAAGAAAGATTTATGAGAAGATTCTACATCTGGAGGAAAGAGTACTGACAACTGACTTTTAAGTAACAGGAAACATGAGATAGCTGACTGTATGAGTACTGCAATTGCTCATTCTTCTCCTTTGTTTATGGGGGCAGGGGAGGGGGCAGTCACTGAATTAGACTTGCAAGCTGAAAGAAACTTTAGATGTTGGTCTCAAGTTTTCACACTTTATAGACACACCGACCTCCAAGGCAACATTTTCCCCCAGGCTTACTTTTTTTTTTGTTTGCATACAATCCCTCATATACATTGTGCTTTATATAATTACTATTCATCTATGCCTGGGGATTCATCTATCACCCCATCTTTTCAATCTTTAATTTTTTCACACAATATCTCTGCCCCTAGACTTCAGAAGTCAATAATTTTAAGCCATTTTATGAACAAATACTCAGGTTCAAAAAGGTCTGATAATACAAGGAACATGCAGTTCTGACATACACAGTAGGAAAACCTGCAAAATAACAAGTTAATAATAGAAAAATTAAGATTTCTTCTTTGCAGTGGTATTCCTGACTAAAACATTCCTATACACTAGTTATTTATAGGTGTAAGAACTACTGACTTAGAATATGAAAGTAAAACAAACAATAAAGCCCTGACATCCTATTAGGGATCCTTTCTTTACACCCCTGAGGTGGCAGTGAAACTATGCTAACAATTTAGAGGCAGAATACTTACATGTTTTCTTTTTGTTGCCTTTAGAGATTTGGCAGCATAGTAAAAAAGCTGGGTCCCACACAAAGCTGCCCAATATTTTGTCCAAGATGCTACCTGCAGACGACAAACACATGAATGAGCTAATAAATGCAACTTGCCTTTCGGTTTCTTTACATCTTAGAGCTCTGCTTCACGTTAGCCATCCAGTAGACAACCTTACCCATTGCCCACGGCTGATGCCAACTCATATATCACCCTATGTGACACGGTGGAACTACACCTTCTCCAGGGTCTTCAAGGAGTTAGTATTCACAGATTCATTGTCAACATTTTGCCTGTGGAATAACTGGTGGGTTTTAACGGCTGATTTTTGTGGTTAGCCTATGAATGGTGGGCTCCCTGGCCAAACCCAAGTGTTCAGAAATCTAATATTAGCTAGGAATGATCATATTCCTGATTACCATTTCCAGCGAATATTCTTTTAATTCATGTAATTCTTGATCTTTTCAAGAATTCTATTACTTTTTCAGATGATTTAGCATTTCCCGTCTCAACCTTGTGCTCTCCTTTTTTAAAATCTAGCCTATATTCTCTGGTCCAACACTACAGCCGTCTCTTTGAAATACTTTATTTCCACATTCCTCCCAACCAATAAAGCTTTGTTGTTGTTGAGTGACCGCTAGTCAAGTACATAGTGACCCTAACTCTGTACGGTCCTGTGCCACCCTTACCACAGTTGACTCCACTGCCACAAACTGTTATCAATGTCCCTCCTCCAAGAAATAGCATCTCCTAACAGTATAACCAAAATATGGACATACTTCATCATCTTTGCCTCTAAGGGAATATTCTGGTTGCACTTTCTCTAAGACACGTATTTGTTCTTTTGGCAGTCATAGGATACTTAGCACTCTTCCAACACTACAACTCAAAAGCATTGATTCTTCTCCTGTCATCCTTATTCATTATCCAGCTCTCAGAAGCACAGCAGATGATTGATTGCAAAGACTGTGGCTTTAATCACAGGCACACCTTAGTCTTTAAACTCCACAGGACTTTAGAGAGGTCCCTGACAGAAGTCTTTCCCTGTCCTATATGTCTCCCAATCTCCTGACTGCTGATACCAAGGTTTTTGACTGCAGATCCAAGGAAGAAGAAATTGGTGATAATTTCAATCTTTTCTCCATCTATCAAGGATGTTATTTTATGCCTTTAACCCTAGTTAACTTTAATCATCTGATTACCACACAAAAGTCTTCACACCTTCTTCTCCATCCCCTCCAAAATGATCTCACTGCATACCTCCCAGGTATGTAACCTGGTAAGTTCTACTTCATCCTCTCACCATCAACTCCTTCTAATGGCTTGCCTCACTGCAACAACATCTAATCCTGCTTCTGTGTAAGAATTCAGTATTCTCTTTATTCCCGAGACTGCCACTATTCCCAACTTTCCCGAGGAATTAATTAGCTTGTGTAATTAATTCCTCTCTCCATTGTATCTCCCTACTATTATTATATAATTGAACAATATTATTTACTTCCACTTAAAAAAACCACAAAACCTTTTTCCAAGGTCCATGAGAGTTTGCTAGGTCATTTTCCTAGATTTTTTAACAGCACAACTTCTGAATTTACTTTTACTGTGTCCCTTTTTCTCTTCAACTTGCTTCAGTCTGGCTTTCAAGCTACAGCTTTACAGGGGCCTTCTGTCCTCTTCACAGGAACACTGGACACAGATGACCACCTCCTCCTTTCTTTAAATATCTAACTAGTAGGCTTCTGCAATAGCAGGTCCTTCTTTTTCCCTCCAACTTCCTCTTGTAATGGACCTTGAAATGCTCCAGAGTCTTAACATTAGCCCTTTTTCTTCTCCAGTGTGATGTTAAAGGTTTACTGGTAAAAACAGCATTCCTAGCCACTGACTCTGACTTTGCCTTGTGGATGGGCGGGGATATGTGAATAAGGTGTAGGAGCCTATCCACAAGAGGAATGGCTAGTCTTGCCATTAAACTGAGCAGATTCCAGCATAGAATTTGAGAATCTCATCACCAGCAAAGAAGCAGTAGAGAATGTTGTACAACTTTGGGGCCATGGACTCTTGTGCCAGCCGATGTACTGGAGAGGGGTGGTAACAAGAGCTGAGAACCACAGACCTGACATGAGACCACTGACTGTAGCACTGCTACCCGACGAATCAGTTAGGAGATTTCATCCGAGTGTGTGTGTGTGTGTGTGTGTGTGTGTGTGTGTGTG